TATATATATATAGATAGATAGATAGATAGATAGATACATATGTTGATGCATATATATAGATACATGCGTATATGCATACATATTTACATACATTCATTCATATACACATGCACATATACATACATAAATGGATATATAGATACATACATATACACACATATACATATAGATACATATATATGCACACATACTCATGTACATACATATATAGATATATAGATACATAAATGTTTAGATACTTACAGCTATTATGTAATATATAATATCATAGTCTTATGTCAAGTATTGCTCTTAATTGCTGCAACTTAACTGGGTAAAATTCTGGTCCATGATATAGAGAACCTGTAGGAGTTAACTCCAAGTGAATGCATCAAATCGATGTCAGCCTGTTGCAATCAAAGCCAGGTTGGGTAGATTTGTAAAATCATTAAAATAAAATAAAATGTATTATATATATATATGTATATATATATATACATATGTATTTTCATTGAATAATACAAATTGAGATGGATTTGATGGACTTCAAACCTTGTATCGATGATAATGGTCGTCAGCTATATCCCCATTACTACCATCCTCTATTTTTCCTGGCAGAAGCAACCAACAAATAGGTTAAATTGATGTTTCTGATAATTGACAACAATGTTATTTATTTTATTTATTTTATTTTTTAATGTCTGAAATGTCATGAAATTAATTCCTGCATAAGAGAAATTTAAGGAATCTAAAAAAACATATTAATTTATAACAATATCCAACAAACAAAATGATAAACTCTAGCATTTTTCAATTGTTTTTGTTTTGTGCCTAGAAATCTGCAGCGATAGAGTGTAATTTAACAACTTAATATTGTATGCAGATCCAACACACACACGCAAATAATATAAAAGTAGTAGATGGAGACACCATGATTTTTTTATGTGGAAAATTTCTATAAAGAGAAAAAATGATGGGGTATGGAGCAGTTAAAGTAATCCACTATGTATGTGATTGTAACCACAGAGGTGTTCACTCTTCTTTTGAATTAGAGAAGATGAAATTACAAAACAGATAATCACAAATGTACAATAGCTATATTTGGGCTAAAACACATGTAGTTTTCTGTTATAATAGCAATATTTGGTCATCAAGGTCATAGACGCTGGTTGCAATAGCGGTTGTTTGCTACAAAGGTCATGGTTGTAAGTCGTAACTGTAGCAGCTGGCCACAAAGGTCATAATTGGTGTAGCAATAACGTCAGTTGGCCACAAAGGTCATAGTTGGAGATATAGTATCAGTTGGTCACATATGTTGTAATTGGTGACATAGGTCGTAGTTGGTGACTGCAATAGCATTAGTTGGATACAGATGTCATAGTTAGTGACTGCAATAGCATTAGTTAGCTATATAGGCTATAGTTAGTAGTTGCAATAGTATTAGAGTTATATAGGCTATAGTTAGTAGTTGCAATAGTATTAGTTGGCCATAGAGACCGCAGTTGGAGAATTCATGAATACCGTCGGTTGGCCACAAAGGTCATAGATGAAAGCTATAATAGTAGTTAGCCACATAGGTAATTGTTAGTTACATAGGTTGCAGTTGGTCATATAGACTATAGTTGATATTTGTAGTAGTAGTTAGCCCCATAAGCCATAATTAGTGACTGCAATTGCATATGTTGGTCATGAAGCTTATAATGAGTGATTGCAATAGCATTAGTTAGCCACGAAGACTATAGTTGGAAAGTGCAATACCAATAGTTGGTCATGGAAGCCATAGTTAGAAACTGTTGTATAAGTTAAAGTCTGTCCGGGGCACTTGCAACTGTTTGAAGAAATTGCTCTAAAGTTGCTGAAGAAGTTGTTATTCAAAAAGCTGCAGTGGTTATTATTATTATTTTTTTGAAAAAGTTATACCGTAGCTTTCCAACGGGCATCACAGGTAGCCAGGTCTTGTGGTAAAACGCAGCTTCTGTTGCAGTATTTTTAGAACACAAGCAAAACGTAATTTTGTCAAACAGAAATAACTGTTGTGCAACACCATACTTCCACCACAATGCCGCCCCAGACGCATCCTTAGTCATATGGATTGTAGTATGTCACATAAGTCATAGTTGTTAATTATAGTAGGGTCAGTTAAATACAAATGTCATAATTGGTGATTGCAATATTGTAAGTTACCCACAACGGATATAGTTGGAGACTGCAATAATGTTAGGTGGCCACAGATGCCATAGTTGAAAGTTGTAATAGCAATTGACCACGTAGGTCGTAGTTGATCACAAAGATTGTAGGTGGTCTTATGGCCATAGTTGTTGACTACAATAATGTCAATAGCCATGGAGGTTATAGTTGGTAGCTGTAATAGCATTATTTAGCCATGAAGGTTATAGTTGCGGAATGTAAGTGCGCCAGTTGGTTTTAGATACCATAGTGAGAAGCTACAATAGTAAGTGACCACATAAGTCATAATTTGTGCTACACCAATTGGTGGCTACAACCCTTCTCTCAAGTTTGTTATTTTACACCTGAGACATCACTTGTAACTTTACGACGTAAGGAAAAATCTTCATAAATCCAATTTATCTTCATATTCTAAATATTACAGTCATATTCAATGTCGTCAGAAGTTATCATTGGATCTTTAATACTGTGTTATTTGTCACCCACGGTTCGAGATATGATGTTATACCATATTCAGGATACACTCTACACTATGTTTGAGATATAACATTACCATATATTTGTGATGTAGCATTATATTGTATTTGAGATATTGTGTTATACCATATTCAAGATATTTTGTTCCATAATAGAGTTCACCGATGGTGTTGATCGGCAAGGGGTGGTTGGTGGTGGTTAACAATTGTTAGAGAGTGGTGGTCGATGGTGCTCGGCAGGTACGGAAGACAAAAGTTATCGTTAGGTTTTCAATCTAGGACATCACTCAAATTCAACATCATCTTCTCTTCCTCCAAGTGAAAAGTTGAGGTCTATTTATAGCCCTGGGTGAGATGTATTTTGGTCATTTGGTAAATAACTTCTACAACCACCTGATTAGATGGTTTGTTGCCATAACCATAAAAGTTTTTTCAATGATTTATGAATCATAATGTCCTTGGTATTAAATTTTCTTAATCACGTTGGATTCCTCTCATTGACATATTTGATTTGAGTTTTAGTACGTCAAATTTAGAGTTTGTTTGACAATTCAATAATGATTGGAGCCTCAAAATGTGGTTCAACTGCTTGATTGGTCTCATATTGGATCAATTTTGGTGTCATTGTGTTTTTTTTAAAGAGAATCACATTGACTATAAGTTTGTTGATATTAGAGCTCTTGATGATTTTTCAATTTCATTAAATGCATCTTTTGCTCAAAAGGTTCCCCAAGATTCATGTCAAATAATGAAATTTAATGATGACACATCAATTGCCTCCTATTTTTGGTTGATTAATTAGTATCATCTGAAAATAATTAAATAATTAAAAAATTTAAAATTTAAAAACATGGGAAGCTAGTGCAAGTTGGAGCACGATTTTGAGGTCACGAGTTGGCGTACGGGTTGTCGGGGTAGCAAGTCGTTGTGCATCGTAGTTCATAGGATGGAATAGTCACGAGACATTTCACGGGTTGAGGGGGGTCGAGTAGAACCAAGGATGTGGGAGGTGTGAAATACACGAGTCAAAATAGTTCAAGTTGGCCAAAATAGTTCGTGCATTATGACAAAGTAGCCTAAGTCAAGTCATGTGAATTCGAATGATTAAAGAAACTAACTGTGCAATCGCACACGACAGCGAGCCCACGTCCACCCTAGCGTGGATGCTCATTCATGTGTTCCTGCTTAGGGCTGCAAACCAAAACTTTTTGAATTATTTTAAATTTTCCAATTTTGGTGTCGTCCTGATTTTTGACCAATAAATAGGCCTAATACGGAGCATAGAAGGCACACTTCTCTCCCTCAAACTAAAGTGCCACTTGGCTTGTTATTATGCGTCATTTCTGACCTATTGTTATGCCTTATGTTCCACATTGATGTTGTGTTTAGAGTTCTTTTCTTGCCAACGGTTGTGCCTTTTTTCAGCACTACTTTTTGATGTCTCTTTATGCTTTATGTCATAGTACAATATTGGATTACAAAGTGAGGTAAGAGCTATCATAATTTTTTTGGAGTTGCTCAAATAATGTTAACCCATCCCGGGTTTCATAGGTGGAGATGAAAAAACTTCATAGTTAGGGGTGTACAACCTATCCTAGGTTGTTAGTGAGAGCACCAACTCGACTACTGTAAGTTATAATGGAAAAGGTTGATAAATTTTTTTATGGATGTTTGACCAGTCCTAGGTTATTTACTAGAGGTGCTCGATGGTGTTAACCTGTTATGAACAAAGTCAAATGAAATTTATCAAAGACTTAAGACCCATCCTAGGCTACTTTTTTGCAGATGCTCTATTATAGGTAAAGTCAAATAAAATCCACTAAAGATGTTTGTCCTATCGTTGTCTATTGTTTGAAGCTTTTGCTTGACAACCGTAAATTATATTGAAAAAGGTCAAAGGAAATCCCCTAAGAATTTTTGACACATTCTAGGTTGTTTCGTCAAAAGGTTTGCTTGACAACCATAGCTTATTTTGGAAATGGTCAAGAAAGGTTCAAATCGAACCCGTTGAGATTAATTAAGCTTGGAACAAGGCGTTGGAGATTTTTGTATTTCTCGAGTTTTGGGTGTAGGTCGTGTTGGCAATGTTTTTTTCCTGGAAATATGGTTACGAACATATTCAAGAATGATATTTGGTAACATTTTTATTATTTCTTTTGAATTTGTTGCCTATCAGTAGAGGTGTTGTCTACACAAGCCTGATCATTTTGTATAAAATAGCCATGTAAATGTTGAGATGGTCAGCTTCATGATTCAATTGAGAAGAAACCGAATACGATGACGAGTGTTTAGAGAGCACTTTCTAGTTGGAAATTTTCATTTAGTTGTTGATCTTATTTTTATGTTTAAGATGTTGACATAAGTGTTCACTTAAAGTTTCAATGAAAGTTACCCCACAGTTTGCAATTAGTTCCAATAAACTTGATGTCTAAATGGGATGTAGGAAGACTACTTGACCATAATCATGTCTAGGATGTTTACATGAACGACCTCTTAAGATTATAGTGAAGATTGCCCCCCTCATCAGAGTATGCATATAAAATCCATTTCAATGACTTTCTCTTAGCTTGATGAATCCCATAACTATGATCAAAGTCTTTGGCAACCCTTCAACTAATAATGAATTGCTCCACAAACAATTAAACAAGCTTAAAAATTATATGAATGATTCTCCCTATGAGTGAACATAACCAAGCATGTATTTGGACTTTAAGAGCAACAGATAAAACTTTTTAAAGGAGCATGTAAGAAACTAGTTGTATGATGTTTTCATGCTAATTAATATGTTGATATGGTTCCATCATAATAATCAATGCTTATAAGCCTAAACCCTATCAAAATATAATTTTGATGGATGGTCACAGCCAATGGAGAAGACTTTGATGTTGTAGTAAATAATGTAACTTATCACAAATTATGTGAGGTCGAGCCAATCTCTCCAATCCATGGTGGAGGTTTGTTGTTAAGATTGACTACACGAAATGGATCTGTGGAGTCGTTAGTGTATAAGACATCCATTTTCTGAGGAGGAACTTCAGTGTATAGAGGGGGAGTTATCGTTTAACCTCTAATTGATGGATTTTAAGGTAGTTGTGCCCCTCTGGCATGCACTATCTCCAATAATCACATCTTACATAAAATTAAATTGATCTCATTTTGAGACTCCTCCATTCTTAGTACATAATCATGAAAAGTTGCAAATGGTGTTCCTTCACCAGCAGGGTGATAAGTATCATTATGACACAAAATAAAGGATATGCTTCCTAGACTTTGAGATTATTACCTGTAATGATGAATGTTAGAGAGAGTAGCATGTTTATTATGCTTGTTAGCCATCGATGAAGTAGTGCCAAACTATTGCATGTCAGAAGATCCAACACGCACACAAATAGTAAAAAATTAGCAGGAGGAGGCACCAATATTTTTTATTATGTAAAAACGCTATAAAAAACACGAGTCATGGCTCAGTCAAAGTAATAAATTATATGATTGTAAGTGTATAGGCCCACTCTTCTATTGAATAGTGAAAATGGAATTACAAATCAGATAATCACATATGTACGTTATTAGTTCAACAATAATAGTCATATTTTAGGCTACAACATATGCAGTTTTCAGCTATAATAGCAATAGTTAGCCATAAAGGCTATAAAAAATTGTTGGCTATAAAAATCATAATTGGAAAATATAATAGTAGTAATTAGCCACAGAAGCTATAGTTTGAATTTGAAATAGCATTAGTTGGCCATAGAGGCCATAATTGGAGATGCAGAAGCAAATACTCACAAAGGTTCTAGTTGGTGACAGAGGTCAGAGTTGGAAGCAAAAGCTGTAGTTGGTGATTGTAATAGTGTCCGTTGGTTGTGGAGGTTGTAGTTGGTAACTACGTGCAATAGTATCAGTTGGCTACATAAGTCATAATTGATGCTCCAATATTGCTAGTTGGCTACATAGATCATAGATAAAGACTACGATAGCATCAGTTGGCAACAGAGGTTGTAGTTTAAAAATGCAGTAGTATTTAGCCACATAAGATATACTTGGTGATAAAGATCATAATGGGTCACATAGGTTTTAGTTGGTAATTGTAGTTGTAATTAGCGCCATAAGTCGTAGTTGGTCCCATAGGTCGTATTTGGTGACTGTTATAATGTTAGTTAGCTACAGAGGTTGTAGTTTTTTAATATAATAACATCGGTTGGTTATGGAGGCTATAGTTGGAGACAATAATATCATTACTTTGCCACAAAAGCTGTAGTTGAAATTTATAGTAGCAATTAACCACATATGCCCTAATTGATCACATAAGTCAATATTATGTGACTGAAATTACATTATTGGCTACAGAGGTCGTAGTTGGCGTTTATAATAGCATCAGTTAGTCATAGAGGTCATAGTTGAAGATTGCAATAATGTCAGTTGGTCATGGAATTTGTAGTTGAAAGCTATAGTAGTAGTTAGCCACATAGATCGCAGTTGGCCACATAGGTTATAATTCATCACAAATATCGTAGTTGGTAGCAATAATGTCAATTAGCCTCATACGTTGTAGTTTGTCACATAAGTCATATTTGTCGACTACAACAATGTCAATTGGCAACAAAGGTTGTAGTTAGTGAAAACAATAACATCAGTCGACCACAAAGACCATAGTTGGATACCACAATAATGTCTATTGGCCACAGAAGTCTTAGTGGGAAGCTGTAATAGCAGTTGACCACATAGATTGTAGATGACCACATAGGTTATAATTGGTTACATTTGTTGTAGTTGGTAACTATAGAAACAATTGGCCCCATAGGCAGTTGTTGGTTACAAAGTTCATAGTTGGTGATTACAACAACGTTAATTGGCACAGATGTTGCATTTGGTGATTGCAATAGCATAAGTTGACCACATAGACCATAGTTAGAGATTGTAGTAATGTCTGTTGGTCATAGACGTCATAGTTGAAAACTACATTAGTAACTCATCACATATTTCATAGTTTGTGTTGCAATTGTTGTTGGTTGAAACCCTTCACTCAGGTTTATTATTTTACACCAGAGACACCACTTGTCAACATACGGCATAAGGAAAAATTTTAGGAGTCCGGAAAAATTTATTGTATTCCAAAAATGACAATTCTAAGTAGCTTCATCGGGAGTTATCACTGATCTTCATTAGTGTGTTTTCATCACACCATATTCAATATATGTCATTACACTATATTTGGGATACATCGTTATATCTTGTTTGAGAAACATTGTTACCCTGCATTCGCATGACATCGTTACATCATATTCGGGATACTTCGTTACATCATATTCATGATATTTTGTTTATTAACCGAGGTGAGCAGGGGACAGCCGCTGGTGGTTAACGACAGGCGACAAGAAGTGGTCGACGGTGATTGGTGGCTAGAGAGGTCGAAAGTTATCGTCAGATCTACGACAGGCGACAAGAAGTGGTCGACAGTGACTGGTGGCTAGAGAGGTCGAAAGTTATCGTCAGATCTTCAGTTATGAACAACACTAGAATTTGACTCCTTCCCCTCCAAGTGAATAAATGGGGTCTATTTGTAGCTATTGAGGGAGGGCATTTTGGTCATTGAACGAATAACTTCCATAACCATCTGATCGGACGGTCCACATTGATCTCCCTTGACTCCAAGCGAGTTTTCAATGATTTGAGGGTCATAATGACCTAAAAAATAAGCGAACCTAGGCTCATTGGATTCCTCTCATCGAGATGCTCAATTTCACTATATGCACATCAAATTTGAAGTTTGATTGACCGTTCAATCAATCATCTAAAGCCTCCAAATGTAATTCAATGGCTTCATCTGGGCCTCTTTGGACTCAAATTGGACTAATTTTTGTTTAGATGGACAACTTGACTATAAATTTGCTGAAATTGAGGCTCTAAAAATAATTTTGAATTCGAATCAAATTATCTTTTATTCAAAAATATTTTGAGATTCATGTCAAAATTTTGTGACGACACGTTAGTGTGTTAAACTTGCTTTTAATTAATTATAACAGAAAATCAAACAAGAAGTTATGGGGGTAAAGATCGTGAAATGAGAACCGGCATCCACCAAGTTTTTCTTAGACGTGCGAAAACATAAACAAAATTGAATTTTTAAAACATATGGTTAATCATCTCTTGACATCTACTCTTGCAAAAATTATAGCAATGATAAAGCAATTGCATTAATTTACCTTGTATGTGGGTGAAGACATCCCAATTGCTCAAGCCTTTGTTACCATCCAAATATCCCCCTTCAATCTGGCAAAACATAATTATGTATCATCTTCTCAATTTTGCAAGTTTAGCACAACTGAAGATTGATTAACATTTCATTCAATAATGTTCATTAAGATATTCAAAATTTAATATTTTATAAATAATTTCTTCGCTAGCAAGCAGATGACTTGACATATTAATATTGTTTGTCACATGATATCGTTTTCATGTTAGTACAGAAAAAATATAATATATCTGGAGTGCGAATGTATTCATATCGTTTTCATGTTAGTACGGAAAAAATATAATATATCTGGAGTGCGAATGTATTCAGACTCCAATGACATCTTGACACGTAACATATACAAATTGGGTCCACTACAAGTAAGGTACAAACAAGGTACAAAACTTTAACTTTGCTTGTACTATACTTGTACCTTGCTTGCACCCAAACCCGATTTATATGTCACGCATCACTATGTCATTGGAGTCCAAATACATCCGGATCCGGACTCCAGATGTAATCTTTTATTCAGCATATGACTTAAAGGTTTTGGGGCATTTACATAGCTATATATACCACCAAATTCATTTGTATTTACATATCAATTACTTAAATTTTGCTTTTATTTAAGATTTTTATATGTCAATCACCTAAACCATTAAATATAACATTTTAATTACCTAAACATGAAGATTTAGCAAGTTTTGGGTGGTTAAATTGTTAATCTTTAAAATTCGGGTGATTAAAATTTTATATATAATGTTTTGGATATCAACATACAACAACTCTTTTATTTTTATATAATATAAATCTTTTATCACATAAAACATACAATTATTTTAACTTTTCTAAACTGAAATACACTGTTTCTTAAATAGGTAAGGTGGAATTAGAGCTGTCAATATGGCTCGTTCTTCACGAACTGCTCGTGTTCAGTTCGTTAAGCAGCTCGTGTTCGGCTCGTTATTTAAGCCTAACGAGCTGAACACGAACAAAAGTTTGTGAGCTAGCTTGGGCTCAGCTCGTTTACGGCCCCAGGTGGAATGCATGTAAAAAGTGAAGTTTATGTGTTAGGCAAATATGTAAATACAAAAGAGTTGAGGGGCATATGTCAATGTTTCATTAATGATATTCTGTCGCTCTCATTTCCAAATAAAAATACATTTCATTTCCTTACGAATTCAGCAAAAAAGACAGCTGCCGACTAAACAAACTTTCAGGACTACTTTCATTGTACATTATGCGGCAATATCTTAAAGATAAGCATCATCTCTTTGATAGTTATAGGTAAGATGATATATAATATATAAATACAAAGCTAGCTCGGGCTCGGCTCGTTTACGGCCCTAGGGGGAATGCATGTAAAAAGTGAAGTTTATGTGTTAGATAAATATGTAAATACATAAGAGTTGAGGGGCATATGTCAATGTTTCATTAATGATATTCTGTCGCTCTCATTTCCAAATAAAAATACATTTCATTTCCTTACGAATTCAGCAAAAAAGACAGCTGCCGACTAAACAAACTTTCAGGACTACTTTCATTGTACATTATGCGGCAATATCTTAAAGATAAGCATCATCTCTTTGATAGTTATAGGTAAGATGATATATAATATATAAATACATAAGAATTGAGTCATATTTATGTAAATCTCCATTTAAAAAACATAAAAAGAAAGAAGGTTATGATTTATGAAGGAAAAATAATTATGTTTGGTTAATTCAAATACTAAAAGATTTATTTTTATCCTTTAAATTTATAATATAATATGATATATATATATATATCCTATCATATTATGTGCTTGAGAGATGTCTGCACGTCTGCACACAGCCAATCACGAGGACCACATCATCATACACGTGAATTTATGTTGATGTGGTCTCTCATGATATTATGTGATTTAGACTGTAGTTGAAGAGAAAATATTATGTCCCGATGTTCAATCATGAGGATCACATTATTGTAAACTTGAATTTATGCTGACGTGGTCTCTCATGATTGGATCACTCTGTCTTAGAGATAAGGTTTAGAAATAACTCAAAGAATTTGAAGAGAGAGAGAGAGAGAGAGAGAGAGATTATTTTCAGTTTACCTGATAAGAAGATGTGGCTGTTCCGAAGAGGAAATCAGGAGGGAAATGGCTTCTATCAATTCCTGCAACCAAAGAGAACAGAGGAAGAAGCAAAGCAAGAGCTTCAAAGCTCTTCTTCTCCATCACATATCCAAACTCACAGCTCTTCAATGATTTCAGAGTGAGCGGTGAAGGATTTATATAAGAAATTTAGGAAATTCATTATTATTTTTTTCTATGTTGTCTTTATTTGATCATTAAAAAAATAAAAGATTATAATTTTTTTTTGCAGAAATTGTTCTTCCGGTTGCAGAAAAGAAGAATTGGAATGGATGAATAAGAATTTCACAGAAAGGATAAAAAATCACATTCAGGATGAAATTACTGACCCTTTATGGAAATAATTTGGGGTTTTTTATTGGAAAAATTATTCCATACGGACATCACATGCAGAGATGTATGTGTTGTCTGATCTCTACCGTCGATCATAATTTTTTTTAAAAAAATGGGGTCCATTGAAATACAGTTTTGCTCTGCTAGATGGTGGAGATCCGATAGCGCATGCATCTATACATGCGTTGTCCATATAGAATAATTTTTCTTTTGATTGAGACTGAACATTGGCTTTCTCTGCCTTATCATTCCCCACTTGGTGAATATATTTAATTAAAAGAAATTGATGAGGGTATATTTATAATTAGGGCTTGTTTAAAAGTTAAATATAAAAAACAAGAAGAAATTGAATCATGAAGACAAGCAGGAATTCTCTAAGGAAAGGGGAAAAGTACATGTGGGACACATTGATTATTATGTATTTAAATATTTAACAGCTAAAATTTAATATTTACAATGAGATCACTTTGATGTCATCAACATTTGAATTAAAAGATGTAATTTTTAAAAAATTGTGATTTTGATATTTTTGATGTGATGTTAAAGATTTTAGTGTTTTGTATTTAAATATGAAAGTTTAAACGTTAGATATGTGAATGGATAAGATGTTGGGAATGATCGAACCACACTGATTCTTTACTGGAGCTTCAATCCAATTAGAATCAAAACCACAACGCGGAGTAAGATCACATTGATTTGAGAGAAACGGAACAAAAAAAATTTTGAACGGAAGCACAACAAAACAAATTCTAATAAAACACACCACGACGTGACAAAAACCTGATAGCAGGAAAAAACCACGAAGCCACAGTAAAAAAAAATTTCATTAAGAAATTCAAAAAAGTACAGAGAATTTACTAAGACATCCTCTCTACAATGAATGAAACTTATAGGACTTCACCTCAAATCCTTATCGATTCCACAAGACAAATACACGTTGAAATATTTTGTTCACCGAGAACTTTATCAAACACCGCATGCGAGATATTTCTTGTTGGTCATCACCTGAAATCATGAATTTAAGGAATCGAACCAAAGAAACAACCCCCGCCCTAGCGCTCTCGCACCTCTTCTTAGTGTGGGTATGTTGAAAAATCGGGAACCAGGCGCCTAGTTGGCCAAAGTAGAAAGTGGGGCACCCTCTATGAGGGCGAGTGCAACGCGCCCTCGGCCAGCAGGCACGGGTGCGTTGCCCGGTCGCAGGTGCGCCACGATAGTTATGGTTGCTTGCTTGTTGCTTGTGTTGTAGTTGTGGGTGCTCTTCCAAGTGTTGTCCATCAGGCTCCAAACCTCAATAATCTTTCACTTGGAGACTAAAAGCATCAACCACCTATTCTTCTGATCTACAGCTTCATCTGTAACATCTTAATAGTTACGTATCGTGGTGTGGCTCACCTCTGGCCTCAATTTTCATTGACCCAACTAAATCTAAGCATAACTGTGGTTCCTCAATAGTCACAACCTTCGCCAATATTCTATAGAATTTTGAGTTGTGTTATATTCTCCAAAAACAACTATCCTTCTTCAAGGAGAGGGCGTATAAAATGATACCTCATCTATATGTGTTCTATCGTGACGTGAAAAACAATGTTCTAAGCAAAAGAATTTCACTCATACAATCACTGTGAAGTTTTTAACCGTCTGCTCCTTGCTCAATTCTATCATAAAGGCATTTAGCTAAATCATCTTCTTATTAGCTTTAGTGAGGTTAATGTATTCAGCCTCCATAGTTGAAAGGGTTACAATCTTCTACAGCTGGAAACCCAACTCACTATTGTGTTCCCCAAAGTGAAGATATATTATGTTGTACTTCTACTATTCAAATCTCTTGTCAGATCTAAGTCTACAAATCCTTATAGACTAATCCCTACACTTCCATAGTAAAGTGCTCTGTTGATTATTCCCCTAAAATATAAGAAAATTCACTTCATTTTCTCCCAATGATGTCTGTCTGGATTACCAATATACATGCCGATCACTCTCACTACACATGCAATGTCAGATCTGGTATAAATTATATCATACATAAAAATCCCAAATTTTAAATCATGCAGAGTTCTCCTCATCTGTGTTGATCACTTTCATGTACTCAATGTATGACATGAATCTGTCAAACCTTTTGTACCAATGTCTCGGAGTTGGCTTCAAGCTATAGAAGCTCTTCTTCAACCTGGAAACCAGATCTTCTTTTCTTGGAACCTTGGAATCCTACAATTGCACCATGTATAACTCTTCATCCATATCTCAATTTGAGAAAGTTATTTTTATAACTAATTACTTCATATGTAAATCTTCCTCTTCAACCAAACTCAGTACAATCCCGATGGCTGTCTTCTTCACCACTGGGGAAAAGATCTATTCCACTCTTTCTTTATGCTGGAAGCTCTTAACAATAAGCTTTGTCTTGTGGCTTCTGCTACCATCTGACTAATTTATTAAAAAAAATATTGTGTTTTTTTCATTCACTGGTTGATATAGTTGTAAATTGGGTAACTGTATGTTAACTTTATAAGTATATAAGTTTTAATTGTAGTCTAACTAAAGAAAGAAAGAGAAAATGTGATATGGAAGGGAATTTTAACTCATGTATCTTGAGATAACTTGAATATGATTATTCTTACCAAACAAAATGAGTTCAAATTGAAGTTCCTTTCATTTGAATTTCAAGTCAACTCAATTCAAAATTTGAATTATCTTGAGATAACTTGAATTTGATTCTTCTTACCAAAACAAATGACTTCAAATTGAAGTTCCTTTTATTTGAATTTCAAGTCAACTCAATTCAAAATTTGAAACAAATGCCCATGACTCGATTGATGCAAAATTAGACTTCAAAGAAATTAATGGAGCATTTACTTACATACCACATATATAATTCCTATATATTCACATATCTAACCCCTCAATTTTCATACTTACCAATATAACACTCAAGTGTATAACATCACATCAAAAATAACACTTGTGCCAACTTCTTAGAAGTGAAATACCCATATTCATGCATAGGCTTATGGAACCAAAGTGTAGTAAATGTAAATATCAAATTTTATATATTAGATATGTAAATACCTAAAATTTGTGTGGTATGTGCATAAAATTTAATAAATTACATTGAAACAATAGTCTAGCATGTAATCTATAAAAGCCTTCTGAGAAAATCTTTTTGACTAAATTTGTATCAAATTTAATCAGAAAGATTTGTGTCATTTCAGTTGGATAAGCACCATTTTTTATGGGAACAAGAAACCTACACAAGATGAGGACATGATATGAGTGAGGAGACATGATATGAATGAGGAAAAGGTGGTTTTATAGAATAATTCATGGGAAATTTTGATTCCTACCACACAATTCCTTTGTATTTACATATCTAACTCCTAAAGTTAGATACTATATTTACATTTATAATATTTTGGTGCCTTGAGGCTATGAATAAAAGAGTGCGCTTCACTTTTAAAACGTTAGCACTTAGCAGCAATGATATTTTTTATGTGATATTAAAAATTAGAGGGAGATGTATGTAAATAAGAAAGTTTAGGCGTTAGAGATGTAAATGCAAAAGAATTGTGGCAGGATGTAAATGCCTCATAAATCAAATAGGAGGAAAATTAAAGATTTATGTGGCTATTATTGTAAAGTTTATGAAAATATTCATGAATATAAATACACACATTGTATTTGCAACAATTATGCTTCATAGCATTTTTACATGTCCAACATCTAAAAATTTAATAATTGCATTCCTATCACTCAGTCATTAACACCACATCAAAAATATTATTTTTATGAATCATGACATTTGGCTTATTAAAGGTGCTCCAATATTTTTCTTTGTCACCAAATTCTTTGAAGCATATTTCT